CGTAGAATTAGAATATTGATTCTTTTTAAAATTAATTCCTAACCATTACTTAATCTCCCGTTCTTTTTCGATTATTATTTTCACTCACTCGATAACGAAATTTTCGTATAAACAGTTCGCCAATTCGAAAGCGTTACAATTCAATTCAAGATGTACATTTCGAGTAATCTCACAAAAATGTCCAAGATCCACAAAAAAAGAAACTGAAAGGGAAGTAGCGAAAGTTTCGAGTCCGAGTTGGTCCTCGCGATGCTATTTTTAATCCGAAAGGACCGTGTCATCCGGGGACGCGTCCGTAACCTTGAATAGCGGAAAGAAAAGAGGAGGAAGAGGGAAGGAGGAACCACAGAAAGGGAGGAGGGCGAGGCGTGTGCACGCGCGATGTGGGAGGTCCCTCACGGTTTCTGTGGCCACGAACCGTTCGAATCATTTGTCAATGCAGCCCAGTTTAACGATTCGTCTCACCGACACCGAACTTCCACGCTTTCCGTTCCATGCCTCGTAACGTTTTCCCCTCCTCTCGTTGCGATGCGTGTTCTATTCATTCGATGGGTCCAGTCGAGACCACTCTTCCCTCCCCAAGAATCTCTCCCCTCCTTTTCCTTTCCCTACGCGGAGAATCGTGGTGTGAAATTCGTGATTAATTGTCAGGTCTCGGGGGCGGGTTGAGCAGCGAGATTAAAGACCCTTCGGGAGATCCGCAAACTGTGCGTTACAGCCTTCTCGCCGATCGAAGAGAGGAAAGATTCTCAGAAACATCGGATCGAGGGGGGTTGCCATTAATTCATTCTTCAGAGTCGTTAACGATGGGTTAGTTGAAAGTTAACGAAATAATAGAATATATATTTTTAACTCTTCTAACACGATATAAACCGATGTGTCTTTTCGTTTTTCTGAGTGCACATTGAGTTTCGTCGATGCAAGTTGCCAAACTCTTTCCTGAATTTCGGTGGCCAAACAACGGAAAGTTGGCAAATATTTCCCCCCCCCCTCCCCCTATCCGTGCTTGAATACCTTCCAGAAATCGAGAAACGTGTGCGAAGGACGTGTTTCGGGGGGGACGGTGTGCCATCGCGCCACGGCTCATCGAGGGGGGGGGGCCTCGAAACGAAACGTGTTCGAGGAAAGTAAAAACTTCGCCTGTTTATTTTTGACCTCGTGAACCATCCCATCAGGTTCCCGGACGAAAGGTAAAACTTCTCTGCCTTCCCTGGATCGCCAACAATATTCTAAAATAGTAGAAATACACGAGTATTGTGTTAACAAAAATAAACTATCAAACTTTGGTGTAATTAATAATAATAATAATAATAAGTTACTCTCCATTGACGAGAATCTCCATCGTGTTGCGATTAGAAAAATGAATAAGTTATTAAAAGAAAAAGGATAATTTCTTGGATATTTCTAATTTCGATGCGTGATCGATCGTTTGTTAATTGAATTTCCACTCGAAACGATTGGAAAGTTAAAAGGCGAGGGGGGGTCGGCGAGGCACCGTTACGACGCCAGAGAATCTTTTATTGCTTCCTGGTGGAGGTGCGCCGGCGATGAAGATGTCATCGAGGTCAATGCGGGGATAAAGGGCAGCGGAAATCGAAGTGGAAGTCGCCGTGGGGGTCTTGGCGGCGGCCCCACGAATCCGGCGGGGGCCGCTCGGCTGCGAAGGTGGAGGGGGAGAGAAGTGAAAGCCTTCTCGGCTCGGCGCCAGGGGCCTATTAAAAATGATGCTTAAAGAACGAATTATGGAAATGAGCCGTTATATACCAGGCCTGGGTTCCCATATTACCGACGACTTAGTCCGCTCGCGTTGAAATTACAGGTTGCGCTCCTCTCCCTCTTCTGCTTCCCCCTCCTGTTCTAAGTCGGGAACAGGCCGAGGGGAGGAATACATTACGTTGATTTTCGGAATTGAAGATTAAAACCTCCCGCCGCGGGGGCCCTACGCTTCTTCTTCTTCTTCTTCTTCTTCCTGTGGACAGTGGAGCCATCTATCGTGCAGGATCTTTCCTTGTTGCGCAACGAGAGAGAAATTTAATGACATTTTACGAGGGAAATTAATTCTTTTTATATTGGCACGTGTGTATTATGGGATATTTTTGGGAAACGTTAATTCCAGAGGCTAAAATGTGCAAATATAATAGATAAGAGGGAAGTTTTGAACGAGGATTGTTTGTTAAGTTGCGAACGAGTGAAGTTTTCGTTAGATGGAGCGAGATGGTAGAGCGAGGCGACAGTGCGACGGAAATAAAGATATCTCTTATCTGTGTGTATCTCTCGAATATGTTTTGATCATAAATGAAATTGATAATTTTGTATAATATTCATATTCAATTTATATCGTATTAATAAATTGAAAAGTCTCTCCTACAAGTTAAATTGTATATTTATATGTATATATATATTTTTTCCTTGCCAGATTTCTTATAAAATATCTTTTAATTTTTGCCAATTTTTGAACCAAATATAAACTATGATGCATCACTCTCTGATACTTCTGTCCTCCACGTGACTTCGAGGCATCGATCTTCCTCGCCTTCTCTTAATTGAGTTTATTGATCGTGACACATTCCGATCGTGCGTCGAAATCGATCTATATTCGTCACGTGTAGCATCGTGATATTTTTACAATCTTGGCGACAAAGGAAGACAAATTCCAATCTCTTTACAATCGATTTTTCAAAATTTTCAAATGTATTATTTATATACAAAATTACACTCTCTTGAAAAAAAAATATTCGAGAGTATTTTCATGCTATAATTAAAAAAAAAGTTGATGATCCTTGCTCTTAATAATCAATCTAATTCAAGAAAAATTCACTCATGAGCAAATTTTCACTTTCATATCACTATTTTCATGATCGAGAAAAATTGATCTCCATTGACGAAAATTATTCTTCGTTTTAGCCTCGAAGCTTAAGTTAACTCGATTGAGAAAAGGTGATGGACGGTGATGCGCGATATTTAACGCAAAATCGATACAGCATCGCGCGTGAGAACTCTTCTATGAGGGGTCGAGATAGTTGCTCGGCGAACGTCACCCACAATTTCTTGCGATCTCGTAATAACCTGAGATCTGGAAAGGTCAACGAGATTTCCGAGAAGTTCAAACGGAGTGCGCACGATAAAAAAAGAACTAAAGCATAACATTCGAAGCTTTCTCGCGTGTACCTTCTTATCTGGTGAAAAGTAATTGAAGTTAAAGTTCAACGAATCTGATCGAATTGGATCGATTCTATTTACATTATTGTGCGAAGAACGATGACTTACGGTTGAAGGACTCGTTCCTCCGTAAAAAGTTGCTCGAGCAAAGGTCGGTTCCAGTGACTGAAATAAGAAAGTTAGTTAGTTTTGAGAGAAGATGCGGTTTAAAAAGATGTATGTAATTTTATTTAGATATAATAAATTATTCTTCGAAATATGAAGTAAAAAACAAAATAAAAAAAAAAAAATGACTGCTTTAAAAGTAACGAAATTATAATACCATTTTCATATATGTGTTATGGCTAATAAATATTTTATCAGTTTGAATATATGATAACCTGTTGATTCCAACACCACTTACGGCGTTAAGAACTTCCGAGCTCAAGTTAAGGATAGTTTGCCGAGTTATGTACATAATTCAATTTGCAATTTAGCGTTTATTGTTTACCAGAATGATTTGTCGATTTCTCGACAAGCTTATGATCTCTCTTCCAAATTTTATTGCTCAAATTATTTATAATCGTTTAATTACAATTTCAATCCAATTGCAATTTTCTCTCTTGTGGATTTTCATTTGATAATGCTTCCAAGTTATTGTCTCTAATTTTCCTGGAATTTGAGAAGATAATTTGTTGAGCGATTCAAAATTACTTTTAAAAAAAAGTCAGTAGTAGCGTGGAAAACAACAATTTATCAAAAAATAAAAGGAATTGATGACATGTTTTAGCGGTATTTTATTATTTGTCAAGAATATGTCAAATATATATAGTTTTTTTTATCAATCGTGAAAAATAGCGTTTCATATATAGTTCAATACCAAACCTTAAAAGATTTCAATTTAAAATAATTATACTAAAACTTCTGCACACGCTTGAATAATTTGTTTTTCTCACGATTCGTGTCCACTGCATAACGATGTTTGCATCAGGTATTGAGTGGAATTCAACGGAGCTTTACTCAATTTGTTATCACTTGTATTCCATCATCATAAGTCAACAGAAAAAAATATCATTTTGAAAAAATAAAGTTGTCTTATCTTTCAATCGACGCAATTACGTGGTGGTGGTAATCTTTGCTGAATTTAGAGAAAGCGATAAGATACGTGCAATCACGTTGTTGCTTTTACGATTCCTCTTCGCTGGGTGGCAGCGACTCGAAAACATGAAGTTGTTAGATAAAAATATTGATAATAATTGATAATTCTTGATAATTCTTGATAATTCTTATATGGTTGAATGATCTTCCAAACAACTTACAATTGGAAAATTTATCCTCTTGTATTATTCTTTCAATAATCTTTTAAAAATGAAATTCTGAATTGAAACTGTTTAAAATTTTTTAAATTTTATTATTTAAATTTATATAATATATTTTATCAATTTTAAAATTTTAGTTTCAAAATTAAGAACAAAATGTAACGAATAATAGAATATCTTTAATCATTAATCATTTATAATGCTGATTCAAACCTTTGTAACTCTGCCATTTGTTTGGATGTGAAAGGAGTAGTATACTAATTGCTCGAATCTGATCAGACTACCAATATAAACTGCTACCAACATCGATTAATTCATGAGAACTTGATAGGAAGTTTTTTTCTTCGCATTTAGACTTATATTGCTACCAATTCAGATCGTTTCGCATTTTGTAAGCTCAAAGAGACCTGTGAAATGACATTATTTGAAATAATCATTTAACGAATTGATCAATATTTTTGAGTATTTTCTCTTTTGGAATAATTTCGACGATTATTTTTCTTAATATATATTTAAAATAACAAATAATGAAGTAATTTTTTTCAATTCTTCAAAATAAAATTTCTTCTCTTCTAATAGAAATAGATCAATTAAATTGATCGTTTAAATTAAAAAGAAAAAAAAAATTAGAACGAAATTATTTCAAAAACACGAAGAATTGGCATACCTTAACATCTAATAATAGCTACAATATCTAATAACATTGAATGCAAACGTAGAAGAGAACGGCACGGAAGAACCTCGCGAAAGGGAGCGCAGCGGGCGAGTGAAGCGGTGAGCGGCGCCGCGTTCCTTATAAAGTGGTCACGTGACCGCGCGAGCTCGACGAATCAGCAGACAGTAGCGCCGTCACGTCGCCACGAAGGGAGCCGAAGAAGCACGAAGCGGGACGAGGAAGAAGCCGCAATGGAAGAAGATGAACAAAGGATAACCGCGGAGGAGGAAGAGGCCGGCGAGGCTGGAGAGGAAAAAGAAAAGAGAGGATAAAACGAAAGTTCGCTTCTTTCTCGGTAGCGAGGTTCAAGTCGGCGGAGAGGTAGAGGACCCCCGGCGTGCTCTCCTGCTGTGACCGGTAGCTATCCTCTGTCCCGTTCGTAATACCTATGGGTTTATATATGTGTGCGCGCGCACGCGCATCGTGATCCAGAGAGACGTGTGCACACGTACACGATCGTTCGTGTGACTCTCTCGGCCGTGGACGATCGTGATGCCTGGAAAAGGAGCGGAGGCGCACGCCATACCGATATTAATATTCCATCCTGAAACGTGATAAATCACCGAAGGATACGTCGTTCATCCCCAGCGGCGTCCTCGTCGCCGCTCTCGTGTTACCCCGCAAGGTCACCACACCACGGCCATTCGATTTCGAGGATTCCGTGCGAGTGACGCGATCCTCGAGCAACCAGATCGTTCGAGGGACGACAATTATTCTAATTGGTTCGACTACCTGACCGAGACGCCGGGAACGCCCTCCCTCTTGCGTTTGAGAAAAGCTCGGAGGAATAATCCGAGAAAGAGGGTCGTCTTTCGCCATTCAGACGAAACCGTCGACGATGGGTTGTTCCAGTTTGCTTAATAAGTAGACGGATCCCGGTGGTTGCACTCGAATTAGGTGGTCCAATTGGCTCTCTTGCCCCGTGAGACAAAGGTTGTCGACTGGTTTCGTCGACTCGAGATTGGTCACTCCTCGTGAGAATTGTGGGAAAGAATCGTCGGCTTAGGAAGCACTTACGTGCAAAAGTTGGCGATCGAAGCAGTTTTGGAGGGTCATCGAAGGTAACCGCGGGGGTTTCACGGAATTCACGTGGGTTTTCGCAGAGAGACAAGAGGCCACGGTCTTCCTCTCTCACGGCACTCGAGGCTCGCGCGGGTATCGGTGGAAAAAAGAGGAGAACCACGGCTGGCTGGTAGCCCCCAACAGCGCGATCGAATAAAAATGTGCGCCGAGGACGTCTACGTTAGACGACGCGGTACCGCGAGGCGAGCCACCAGGGAATTTCAACCCCCGCTGCGAGGCCGACTACGAAGACCCTATACTCGGTCCTCTCGCGAGAGGACCGATACCCTGCACCCTGCTCTGTTCACAGGGTATTTCTGTAGTGGCAGCCACACGCAAAGTGCCACGCGTTCTATATATGCTGTGTTTCATTGCCTCGGTGCAAGTCGAAACGCCGCAAACGCACACGGGTGCCGTGTAAATTCTTGCTTGGAGGTCCGTGAACTTCGATGCTCGTCTCCTTCTGCTCCGTCACCTCCCATAAATTAAAAGAAAGAGGCTAGATGGATCTTCGATCCGTTTGGGAATTAAATTTTTAAGGGAGTGGAAAAAATTCTTTCTTACCAGTGATCAATCCCATGGAATGTCGAATATTTGAATTACTTGGAAGATAAATCAACGTAATGGATAATTGGATAAGCGATAATCGATCTGAAAGAAGCAAATTTATAAATACGATCAGGAATTAAATAACATTCGTAAAAAATAAGAGAAACATAATTTATAATAAATAAATTAATGACACTGTTCGAGGATGTAAAATGTATTCTGTGTTCGCATAATTAGTCATTTGGATAATCGAAATTCTATGAATGAATAACGAAAGAATAATTTACTTAATAATCAATTAAAATACTGTTTCTTTTCTATAAACTAAAAAAAAAATTATTAAATTATTCTAATAATTCTCACAATTTTAATCCAACCAATTAAAAAGAGAAGAAACATAATTTTCCATTGCATATATGTAATTAAATATTTTCATCTAATAATATATTTTATTTAAATACCACTGCTGGTTAAACGGTTGAACGTTTCCTATAATAATTTCTATTTGTCATTAAAATAGAAAAAAACATGTATAACATTTTTTTAAATTATAAAACCCATTAATAGGTGAAAATTATTTCTTCGTTGTCGAGTGGGATCTCGGAAATTTCCTCTGAACCCGAAGATGCTTCGCTCGTGGAATACCAAAATCAAATCTAAATGAAAGATCGAAGATCCTCACGGTGGGGCCAAAGGGTAGAGGTATCTCTTGTCGGCGTTCCATGTAAGCCGCGCGACAAGGACCAGATGAGCTCGAAAGAAAGAGAGAGAAATAGGTAGACAGATAGAGATAGAGAGAGTATGTATGCGTGTGTGTGGAAGGATCAAGGGAAAGGGCTATCTCCGGCGGATCTCAATCTAAAAACTCGGAACATATTTTCTCGAGTTTAGAGTCGGGTTCGGGTCTCATTGGTCCCCATGGAATCTTCGTCTTTGACCGTCCGTCTTTCTTCCCCGACCTTTTCATCCTTTCTCCATCCTTTTCTCGGTCTCTTCTACCTGTTCGCCGCGTTCTTTGAGATCAAAGCGTGCCGACGCCGGCAGTTCGGTCCGTGGGGTGTCATGCGAGAAGGGGGATGGGGAATTCAGTGGATGGAAGGGGGAAGAGAGAGGAAGAGAGAGAGTAGTTGGTACCGTATTATCGTTAATATCCTCGAGTAGAGCCGCTGGGGGTGTTTCAGGGAATCACGGTTGCACAGATTAATCTAATCGTTCTTGTGAATTTTTTAGCTCAATCTTCGAAATGGAGAGAATGTTCGACTTTTTATAAATTTGTCTCATATGCTTCTGTGCATCAAAATAATGCTATGATTTTCTTGATTTCTTATTTCATTACTTTTGTTATGATTGGATATTGAAAATTATTTGAAAAATAATTATGTATCCTTCGTTTAATTCTTAATAATAATTTAATTTGAATATAAAACAGGTAAAAAAATAAAACATAATTTTGGAGACAAAACAACTACACGTATATCTCCTTTTTCATTATCCTTTCTCTATAAAGTTAAATTTGATTTATCATTATAAACTTTTTTAAATTTATATTTCGTCCTATCCTAATGAATATTTATATATGAATTTATATATGAAAATTTCGTTCGAAGTCGCGTGGAAAAATGAAAAGCGACATACCTAAAACATCGACTGAGTAACCAAAGAAAGATCTTGACGATATGATTGGTTGGAAGTTGGGATCAGGTACCGATCATTTTCGAGTTAAGATCAGGAGACAATAGCAGCCTGTGTTCCCCGGGAAATCCTTAATTTTTTTTTTCTTTCTTTTTTTTTCTTCAATGTCTATCTTCCGTCTGGCATCTGTTGTGTCGCCACCAGGATATCGTGCACCATTCTTTGTCTCCTTATTATGCCAATCCTCTAATGTTTCTGTGATCGTTCCTTAATCTCTCCTCGAGAATCGTTTCCATCATGTACGCGTACAATATGGCTTCTTGCGTCATAAGAAAGGTTAAACGGGAATAATTCATGAAACGAAACGATCATGTGATTCTTGAAAAAAGAAAAACACGTCGATTCTTGATTTATATTCTTGATATATTTCCATATAGGAATACAGATGGCTAAGCTAAAATTGATTGATGTCATAAAATAAAATCAATGAACTCAAAATATTTAAGATTCAACAATTTGCAATCAAAAAAAAAAAAATAATTTTTGATTTTAAAAATAAGATATAGAATATAAAGTTCTATTTTTTGGAGAAAATTAGATTTGAAAATTCATTGAGTATGCACGTAAACACTGACTATTTTATTTCGATTTAGTATCGTAATCTAATAGAAATAATATCTGCTATTTCTATTTATGTTTATACGCAATGCGAGTAAAAAAAATATATATATAATTTTTTCATCATGAATGGTTATATCGGCGATATCGATAATGATATAGAATAACATTCGGATGGTATAGTATATAAACATCATCAATATTTATATCTCTTAATGATTAATAACTACGAAGACCACCTCGATGTCTTATCATCCTAATAAGAAAGAAATGAAATTTTACAAAGTAATAAATAGCAATATTTTACAAATAAATCTCACAAATTATAAGTATGATTATTCTGTTTAATTTAAAATTATAAAAAAATGAAAAATTAATCCATAACTTTTTTTTATAATTTGTTAATTCATTGATATTGTGCAAGAATCCAATGAAATAATCAATTCTTTGATATATTATATTACACATTAAAATGAAAAAAATATAAATTATAGATTACCTAATGGAAAAACCGAGAAAATGATTGAGAAACACTGGCTTTGATAATAACAGGTGAATCTTGAAGCTTATTTATTGACACGCATGAAAAAAACAAATTCTGACCTATGATTCAAGATTAGATTGTTATCCAATTAGTAATCTCATGTGGAAATGTCGATAATCTTGAATGAATCTTGAATTATTGCGAAAAATCTTTTGATTTTTGATTAAGAAGTACACATGCACCAATCTTGGAAATATAATAAAAATTAAAATTAATCAAAAAATTATTTTTAAAGAAAATCATGAAAAGTTTTTCATGGAACATAATATTCATCTTCTTTCGAAAGATCACGAATCTCGTCTATTTTTTTAGTTTTGTTCGCGAAAGGTCGTGAGCCTGGAGAATAAGTCCCGTTTGATTTTTCATTTCACAAAGAATAGACCATTTATCGTAACGTTCACGGTTGGTTGGTGTGCATCTGTTCTATGTCCAGAAGAAATACCATCTTTTTCCTAAGAAAGAAAACGGTTCCTAGCAATTCTTGTTTATTCCTTTATTAGAAGCAAAAATAATAATTAAATGATTTTTATAATTATAATCTTAATAAATTAAAGATTATTAATTTATTTATTTAAATTTCCACGGAAATAGATATGTATTTACGCATGTATACTTACATATGTTCAAAGACAGTCGGAATGTTGCAATTAATGAATGTAATTTGAAGAAATTGCATGCATCTGCCAGACACGACAATTTGAGCGAAGATAAAACGCGTGATGATTATTGACAGCTCGTTGATCTTTTCAGTTGCACGCAAAAGTTTTATAATGACCAAATGCTATAGGAATACAAAGAATTCAAGGACGACTCACTTCACGCGAAATGAAGATCATTCAAATTATTTTGTCTTGAATGTATCCAAGAGAGATTCAATTTTTGGGCAAGTGCATCGAATGCGATTATTTCTTCGTTATCTATTTTCTGTATCGCAAATCGTCAGAGTAACCGTCACGATTGGTAGTCTCCATTCACTTGCGTAATTCGAAATTTTTCCTTTATTAAGATAATCCCACACTTGACGTCAGAAACCTAACCTAATAACAGCACACCTCACTGTATTTACGAAAACGATGGCGGGGATTCTGATTATTTGTCCATCGATAGGATCTCTTCTTGAGAAATTTTTTCTATTTCTTCGATATCTTCGAATCATATAGATCATATTTTACATGATTTTTTTTTTGCATATTTTTCAATTAAATAGTGTTCAACCGATCCTTCTGCAATTAATTTACTGCAAATAATTTCACTAATTTTTATCAAGATAATCTATAAAAATCAAATAGACGATTATCGATCGATCGAATTTCGATTAATTTATGATGATGATTATTACGGTTCCGAACATATCACATTTTTTCGAACATAATCACGAAAACCTTGATTCAACAAGATTTCGAAGCACGAACACGAGAGGGCGCCCACCCACGGTGCAAGCGCGTGTTCCTCACTACGCTGAAATTTTACCTTGTGGAAAGGAATTAGTCAACTCGTGTAGTCTGTTGATTCAGCTTGCAAGCGTCCATTCGCGCCAACGCGTTAATGCAAGTGGCGATAACATGCGCCTACTTCTCGAAGATATGTAGGACTTTGTTCTTTTCGGTTTAGCGGGGGAATGTCCATCGCAGGGAGGACTTAAAAAAGGATCAACATAGGAATAGCTATGCCCCTAAATTCGACGTGTCATGGTACTCGGCCAAAAGGGATACCTATTCGTTTCGTACCTGTCGGGATCGTGACCTCTTTATTGTTCTTTTTCTTCGGGCGGATCACGGGCAAGAGGACCCTTCTCGATTTTTGTTTCGATCGGCTACAGATGCATTCAGAAGTCGCTACTGGCGACTCGACGTGGCGCCTGGCGTGGCTTGAATAATCGAGCTAATGCGCCGTATCGATGTTGAGATATTGACGGTAGGAAATTCGAGAAGATTGACGATTTCTTTCGTCAATCTTCTTATACAGCAATGATTTTCGATCTTTCTTATCTGATAACATACAAAAATGAATTATTAAAATTCTATGGCATCAAAGAATATATTATACACTTTTTTATCGATCTGATTTAAAAGTGGATATATATTTTTAATTATAAAAAGAATATTTTTTATTTTTGTTTTAAAATGGAAATAATATAATTTTTTTTCCACTATGTATTAATAATATTTAATGATAAGTATTTTGTTCAATTTCCTACGTGTTCAAAACTATTACGTTTTAAATATAGATTACAGCAGTGATTCCCAACCAATGTGTCGCGAAAATTTTATTACAATTTTAACAAATATAAAACTATGTAATATTTAAAATATGTAAGTAATCGATCAATGCAACAATTAAAAAGCATTAATTACAAAATATTGTCTCTATAATATTAGCTAGATTGAAATGTTTTTATTAATATTATAAATGTCTTATTATTATTTAGTGATTTTTTTATATAGAAAAATTATAAAAAATATTAAAATATTGATGATGTTTTAAATCATAATGATGTTAAAAAATTTTTATAAAAATTATGATATATCATGAAAATTTATGTAATTTTAAAATATATGAATAAGAAGATTGAGTTAGTAATTATTATAAATTTATGTTATATAGAAATATTTTTGTTAAATATAAAAATTCCGTGTATGTATACAATAGAAAAATAAAAAACTACGTCGTAACGAGTATGTTAACTGAATTAATCTTCTGAATTTTTATATGATTGCCCTTTGAACTAATGTAATATAAACAAAATTGACCGTTTGAACTAAACGTATCAAAGAGTACTTTTTACCAATATTATAATACTACTTACTCAGTTACGTTTCAAAACGTTTCTTAATAGAAATTAATTTATATGATATCTGACAATAAAATTTGTGAATTTATTGTAGTAAAATTGTTATACTTGTAATTATATATAGATAAATATATAATTACAATATATAATATCTTTAAAATATTCTTCTCTGGAAAACTATTGATGTGCTCTTCATTTTTTAAAATAATTTTGAAAATATTTTATATTATCTTTAAAGTTATATTACTTTTGATGTCATTAATGTAATTAAAAATCTCTGAATATTTTCTTTATTTTTAAAAGCAAAAAAGTTATAGATGAATATTGCAATACAAATTATATTTTATTAGTCAAAAGTTCTTTTGAAAAAAAATATTTTAATGACATTAATCAAGAGTAACTCTGTGGTTTTAAAAAAAATACAAAATATTTTTAAAATTATTTTTGCAGCTTTAAAACCCATTCTACAAAAGTATTTTCAAAATTGTTTTGAAACAAAACAAGGTGCTAATATTGATGTTTAGCTTTTCAAAATTCCAAAGACTATTTTGAAAATGATCATAATGATATTCAGCATTAAGTTTAATAATTTTTTTATATAGAATTGTATATTTTTGCAATTAAAAAAAAATAAAAGAAATTACTCAACTAAAAATCCTTACATTACAAGCTTTTCTATTACACATTTCTTTAAATATTACCTTTTGCAATATATCACAAGCAATTGATCTACTTACTTATAATTACCAAACAAATACATATTTATCACAATTAAATTTAACGATTATTACCAAACTTTCTGTTCCACTTTCCATTTCTATAATTCTCCATTTTTGAAAAGATCGGTAGGTCTCTTCAAGCTCATTCGAATCGTCCACATTCGACGTATCCATATGCGGAGACGTTTACAAGGAGCGAGGAGATTACTGTCGTCTGTTATCATCGTTGGTGTATTAGTGTGAGAGGAAAGGGGGGTATGGGGCGTTATCGACAACGATAGCGCGGCTATATATAAAGCTGTCGGTTCGTCGTTGACATTAGTTCAATATTCGCCGCGGTCTTTTCTTCTTAATACACATCTTCTATCGTGTCTTTCTTTCTTTCTCTCTCCGCCTTCTTTCTCGAGTGTCATCGATATACGTCTTGACCACCGTTGTACGCGATTCATCGTCATCCCTACACAACTTCGATCATCACGCTCCAAGATATTTGCTGAAAGATAAGGAAAGCTAAGCTTTAGAGTTGCAATTTATACACAGGTCAAAACAGAGGGATAATAGAAAGAACTAAAAAAAGATGAAGGCGACGGTGTTCTAGCGTCGGTAGTAAACCGAACGCTCTCCATCCCTGAAACATTAATTGTGTTTTTCCACGCGCGCCACGAAGCTCTATCAGAATTGCGGATTGGATTTGAAATATCGTTCTAGAAAGACGACGGCCACCGTGAAGAAAGAGTACCCACGTTTGATGAATCTGTTGCGGGCCAGCCTAGTTATGTTCTCGATCGAGTACAGCAAACAATTCCTGAGCTACCGTATACTCAAGTCGAATCGGTTCAAGTACATCTGACGATACGGACTCGGACTAAGTGTGATAAAAGGGTGTGCGCTACGGCGAGAGTGTATACGTGAGCGTACTGTGCCGTGTTCGACTTGTTGGGAACGGATAGTTCGGAGGATAGAGGGATCGAACACAGAGAAAGGGACCGGCAAGACCTGGAAAGTCTTGTTCGCGATTTTCGATCCATGCGTCGATCGTTTCCTACCCTTGATACGGTCTGAGGAAACGAGGAGACGTCCGCCGTTTTCGAAACACTTTCGAAAACGCGATAAAAAAATCGCGAAAGAAGAAAACGAATTTTAATCTATAAAGAGGTGATACGAATCAATCGGATAGATACATAGCAGCCGATGAAACGCAAGATTAAATTATTGATTTGAAATAACGAAAATATTGTCAACCTTTCAAATCTATTCGTAAAAATTTTTCACATCAAAGTGAAACACAATCGATACCATACTTTCACAAAAATTCTCTTTGATTGAAAGTCTAAAAATTTTATAAAGGGGAAATTTGCACGTTTCTGGTCGAATTCGATTAACGAAAAAGAAAATACAAAAAAAAAAGAGAATAAAAATGATCGTTTACGTCCCGGGTAGAATGCCAAGCCACGTTGGTGGGTACGGCTCCGTTCGTTATCCTGGCACGTTGCTAGGAACGATACCGGGTTTTTACAGCCCGATTTCCGGTTACCCGACTAGCCCAAACATCAACTACTACGGGAGCCTCAGCCTGCATCAGCAAGCACCGCTAGACCTTCCGGTTTGGCCGCGAAGCATGCCGGTCGAGGAAGAACTCGGAACTTCCCCATCGAACGCGTTGCCGGGTTTGGGAGTGTCGCCTGATGGTTTGACGAACGGTGGCCCACCGAGCCCAGTGCACAGCGATTCAGACGCCTCCAACTCTAGTTTGGAACTCGGCTCTATTCGACGTGGAGAGAATGCCCAACTAAAGTGCAGGTAAACTATATCACTGTTCTTCTTTTCTTTAAGCTTTAGAGAATTCTAAAATCTGAAAATCAAAGAATGATCTAAATGAGATCATAAGATTTCTAATGAATTTATTAATTATATAAAGATTTTTATAGAATAAAGCAATGTGCTTTAGATTAGTAGTTGAAATATTTAAAATTATAATATACTAAGACATAAATTGAATAATTTTATTTAAATATCGCAGAACTTATGTATAATATTTGTTTACAAAATATGAATTTTGATATAAGTAATTCATATATTACATACCAAAGAATAATTCAGAGCAATTCTGCGATATTTTGTCAAAGACAAAAAAAAATATTTAAATAAAATAAATATTAAAAATGTTAGATTTCTATATTATGGAAATTTAGAAAAAAAATAATATAATAATTTCTTACTAACAATTTATAGTAAAATCGATAAAGATTTTTTTTTATTTTTTAACAATTTGTTTAAAGAAAGATCTTTATAAATCTTAATATCAAAAAAAAAAACGTTAAAAAATATTTTCAAATTATTTAAAAATCTTTAAACTATCATGTTTATCAAATAGTCTATTTTATAAAATAGTCAATACTATTTTATCAAATAGTAATATTCTATCACTGCGAAATATATATTCATTTATTATTTCTCTTAGAATTTTAATCGTTAAGATAATAAAAGCTTTATTAAGATTGCTCGAAAAAAATCTCGAAAACTTCGAGATGCAATTCAAATATAGAATCATAAAGATATTTTGCCAACACCTTCGAGCATATATATCCGCAGGAACAGAGTTTGCAAATACATAATGACGAGATGTTATCTAAATTGCAGATTTGATGCTTCTCTCTCTTCTTTCCCCTACGAAATCTGAAACGAATGTGTATCTTCGGTTCTGCATCTCGTTATCAGTGAACAAGAAACTCAATATCAAAGTACTTACTTATTTCTATCTTCTCGAATGGTTGACTCATTCAGTCGATTTCTTTTTTTCCATTTTTGCTTTATTTTTGCGTTTTTCATTTAAATTATTTGACTCAAGAAGGATGAGTTTCCACGCGAATCTCGTACAGTTTACGCGCATTTCTCTTAAGTAACACTAATTTATCTATGGCGCGCGTATGACTACGCACAGCATTCTATCACTGCGAAATATATATTCATTTATTATTTCTCTTAGAATTTTAATCGTTAAGATAATAAAAGCTTTATTAAGATTGCTCGAAAAAAATCTCGAAAACTTCGAGATGCAATTCAAATATAGAATCATAAAGATATTTTGCCAACACCTTCGAGCATATATATCCGCAGGAACAGAGTTTGCAAATACATAATGACGAGATGTTATCTAAATTGCAGATTTGATGCTTCTCTCTCTTCTTTCCCCTACGAAATCTGAAACGAATGTGTATCTTCGGTTCTGCATCTCGTTATCAGTGAACAAGAAACTCAATATCAAAGTACTTACTTATTTCTATCTTCTCGAATGGTTGACTCATTCAGTCGATTTCTTTTTTTCCATTTTTGCTTTATTTTTGCGTTTTTCATTTAAATTATTTGACTCAAGAAGGATGAGTTTCCACGCGAATCTCGTACAGTTTACGCGCATTTCTCTTAAGTAACACTAATTTATCTATGGCGCGCGTATGACTACGCACAGCACGCGTCATTCTGGTTCTAACCAGTTTCCTATATTCAATGGAATATCAAAGTATTCATTTCTTTTCATATTACTTTTTCTTCCTATCTCGGAGAAATTTCCAATTAAAATATACCACGTTTAAGGAAAACGCTGAAGAAATTTGAGATGTTTTTATAGTTTTTCTTGTTATTTATAGTTCAGTTTCAATTTTCCTCAAGAGAAATTTGCAAGAAGAAAAAAGAAAAAAATAAAGATTAAAAATAGAAATAAATATAATATTTATGCATTATAAACACAGAGCTGTGATATATAATTGTTAAGAATATAAAATTCTAATTTCGTTTTATTCTTACCTTTGACAATGAGAACTAGTAAAAAACGAGGATTGAGAGTTTCAATATTTGAAGAATTTATGTTGTATTATGCTATATTATTATATAATGTGTATTATATAATATACAATATATAATAAATACTATAAAAACACTAGATTATTTTTAAAGATCTAGAATCGAGACTTTGACAAATCTAAGTGTTTACTGTTTTAAAGAAAATGTCAGATTTCGATAACCCCGAATAAAGATTTGATTACTTAGCAATATCGTATTTGCAAACTTCATTCACGATCTATTTCGACAAGATTTTGTTGAGATGTGATTGTTTATCGTGGTCCAATAATTCGTTACATTCATTTTGCATGTGGTAACTTCGTGCATTCGGGAATGTCTGTTTTATTATCGTTTTTGTCATCGCTGAATCACGGTATTTGCGCGTCATGTGACAAATCCTCCATTTTCCCTGAAATTCGATAAGCGACGAATTCTTCCTCTCGTATATTGCTGAGATCATTAAACGTGAATATAATAACAATGAATTATGCAAATAAAGAAAGAATGATTAAATACAGTTCCGGATTAGATGAGAAGCATCATTACCTTGATCCACAACCTTTTACACGACATGGCCGTTCACAGAATACGATGTTTAGCGTGATAAATAGCGCATGCGTTTAAATAAACTGGTGTCAAGCGACGCCAATTGCACAACGGACGGAATTGGTATCAATTGGTTGGTGGCGGACATTCTTGACGTAAATTGTGTGTCGATATTTCAACTGAATGCCATTCCACTCCGATTACGTTTCTGTACGTCGACTGTGGTACACGTGATGGCACGCTACTCATTTCTTCTAACCTTGAAAAAGGAAAGAATACGTATAAGTTTCGAATCGAATGAAATTTCTTAAAGATTTATACGGACGTTTCCCTTCGAAGAATAAGAGATACACTAGGTTTCAATCAATCAAATGATCAAAATGCATAGAGTGATCCTTCTTGCGCGTGTTGGATATATTTAGAATTTCTTGGTATATGAGTGACTGGAAAAATAAGTAATATAAATAGATTGATTGACGGGAAGAACTCGAGATTCGAGATATTGGCCTTAAACGATAATTATCTTATAAACGGGTCGATTGCTAGAAACAACCGAGCGATCAAAGATCAATATCCTTAAACGTTGCGTATTCTCATGTACATATAACGTATACTTATGCTTCCGATGCTTGGAAATGATCAAGTAAGATAAATTGAAATCACACTAGTAAGACTAACGCATTCTGTTTCAATTTACAGATGGCAGAATTGTGGTCGTTGGTTCACGTCCTTGGAACAGCTGGCAGGACATGTTGCACGATTGCATGCTGCGCCGGGACCACGTGGACTCTTCTATTGTGGCTGGGAAGGATGTGCCAGAGGTGAACGTGGGTTTAATGCTAGGTAAAGTTTTTCATTTTCTTTTTGCATTATTTCAAATCGACTGAATTTACTTCGAATTTCCATTCTTACTTCGTCACTTTTTTCGTTCTCTAGGTATAAGATGCTGGTCCATGTCCGAACGCACACGAATGAAAAACCGCATCATTGTTTTCAATGCGATAAAAGTTTCAGCAGGGCGGAGAATCTCAAAATTCACGCTCGTTCCCATACAGGTGAACGCCCTTATGTCTGTCCTGTTGAAGGTTGTAATAAGGCCTACTCGAATTCCTCAGACAGATTCAAGCACACCAGAACTCACGCCGTAGATAAACCTTACTGCTGTAAGGTTCCCGGTTGTCCGAAGAGGTACACTGATCCCTCATCTTTGCGTAAGCATGTAAAAACATATAGACACTACGTGAACAACAACGATAAGATGCAAGAGAAGAGCTTTGAAGAAAGTAATTCTCAGGAAAAATCAAGGTTCGATACCGTTTCACCAGAAAAACAAAGTAGTAGTACTCACTCTGAATCGTCTGATAAAAAAGACAGTAGCATCGAAAGCAGCATGTCAAGTTCGAGCCCGAAAGCTAGCAATAGTTTTGAAGAGCAAAGGAATTTTGTTGAATGGAATAATATGTATAATCTTCACGAGCAGCGTAAAGAACCGGAACAGATAACACCTAGAAAAACGTACGAGCAGGAAGTGAAAATCTATCCGAGGATCTATGACGATAGTTACATAATACCGGAAAGAATTCAAGTGAATCCTATGTATGTTTCTAATAACACAATCATTAAAGGAAGTCCACCACAATCGATTCAATCGCCTCAGACCAGTCCGCATCACGTTCCTGATACGTTGCCTCGTATCGGAACACAGTCGACACCTATTAAGATCGAAGAATCCGTCGAATGTCCCAGCAAAATTAGTTCTGTTGATTACAGAAATATCGAGTCGATCATTAACAGCACACCATGTAAAAAAGAAAACATTGGGATTAGTGATCCTGTGAGACATTCTGTGATAAAAAGAGCAGAAGATCTTAAGATGGAAGTCGAGCAAATGCCGATTAAGGAAGAAATTTGTAAAGATACCACCGATTGTTGTTGTCGTCACAAATGTTGCGTACATAATAACGATAACATTTTGGAAAAAACGAAGATCCTTTCAGATTTGATTCTTAAAACGCAAAATCCTTTATTTAGACATCTGTTGGGCACGGTAGATTTGCAGTACGGATTGCAGAATATGTGGGGTAACATCGTGGATACGAACAATACCTGTGGACAAGATCTTCGAGTTAAAAATGAGAATGTTGTCGAAATGGAGCAGGATCTTCCATTAGATTTAACGATTAATAAATAAAGAGAATTTTAAATCATATGGAAGTTAGCTTTTCTTTTAAAAAAGCTATCTATAAGAAAGACATTCAAAATCTTACAGATCTACGTTTCTTTTATAAATCAACATACATTTTAAGTTTTGAAAAAAAATTTGCTTTAAACTACCGATTATAACTAATATTCAGCTTTCGAGGCCGTCCTAATGTTTGAATACTTTCTTGATGCTTCCTAATATTAAAAAATGTTATTTTCCATAACATTTTTCAATATCTGCATAGATTCAGGACGACCTAGAATGTTAATAAATTTGAATTTTTATTTTAAGTTATAATCGGTAGTTTCATTTTCCCAATTTTATATCATTTTTTAAAATTATGCAAAAATGCATGAAACGTTACTTTCTTTTTTTTTGGATTTTTTTTTTTTTTTATAAATATATATATGTAAAGCATATTCAATTCACTAGAAAAATTTTTTAATAAAAATCAAGGAAGATGAGGATTGATATGTACCAGAAAAGATGAGAAGAAAGTTGTCCGTTTTTGTTAGACTGTGAAGCCAAATATATATTGTAATACATTAATGTCTATCTTATAATGAAGCAGAAACAAGTTTGATATCGAATAAGATTTGCTCAATCTTAATTCGTTAATAAATTTAAAAAATTCTTAATTCGTTAAAAAATCTGAGATGTAAATTTACGGGTAATTCGATCAATTCAAAATAAAATGATTGTCGAAACCTGTATATACATATATTAAACCCAAATTTAACAAACAAAATAGAAGAAAAAAAATGTAAAATATTACATATTTTGTGAAAATTTCAAAAAACATTATGGTTGAAAACATAGCTGTATCATAATGAGTTTGAAAGAAATTATCCAATATATTATATTCAACATCTATGTATCATATGTATATAAAGATGTATTATGTATAAGGTATTCATGAAGAAAAGTATGAACGTTTCTGCAATGAAAAGAGTGTGTTTAATGACATTAAACTATTCAATAAAAAATATTATTTATATAAAAAAATGTTTATTTTTTTTCTCATGTAACAAATTTCACTTTCCTTTCGATATAAGAAATATTATAAACGCATTTTAATAACATTGATGCAAGAATATAATACAATCTTGCGACAACTTTTTATAAGAACTTTTCTTCAAATTGGTTAACGGTCACTATTAACGTTAGTTATTTAATACGTAAAAAATTATCATAATTTTATTTTCAAGCAAAACAAACTTTTTGAATAGATCTGTGCCTAATTCTTAATAAAAAAAAGTTAATAGTTGCATTGAAGAAGTAGATTCAAAATAAATATATATAGTGTCAATTTACAGAGATAAAAAAATCTCTATTTTTAATTGCAAGTTTTACTTAAACTCTTGCAAACTTGTTGTCGGAATAATATTAATTGTCACTCCAATTATGTTCATAAAAATACATAAACAATTTGTAATATTAAATATAACTCTCACGATATATTATGACTCATTAGGATTTCAGACATTCCGTCTTTAATAATTTTCAAGCTTTCCAAATCAGAGTTTATTGTTGCTATAAGTTGTGCCATGCCATGTTGCTCCATTGTTAAATACTAAAAAAAAAGAAAGAAAATATAGATTATATATATATTTTTATTTTCATGATTTTTTATAATTTTTGTTATATATTTACATACCGTTTTTATATCGTCCTGAGCTATAGGATCCATTGCATACCTTTCTTGGTTGTGAGTGTCTATATGATTTCTCATTCTTAATTGAGAAAGCATTTCACTAATTCTACCTTTGAATTGAGTTGGAGCGCTAACTTGAGAATGCATGGCTTCGAACCTACGCGTTAGAACTTCTTCTTCAGGTTGTAAAGATAATCCAACTTTACGTGTAATTTCTTGACGTACAAGTACCTTAAAAAATATTTGAATATATAAAAATATATATATATATACATATATATATATAAAACAAAAAATAATCAAAGAAAATATATTATATACTTGTAATACTCTATGTTGAAGTTCTAATAATGTTCTTCGATGTTCTTTTAGTCTAGCTTGTATTGCCATATGTTGTCTTTGTAATCTTTGTATTTCTTCAGCTGCCATATCTAGAAAATTTCTATGTCTTGTTGTTTCTTCTTCTTGACATTTTAATCTGTGCTTGACTTGTTGAAAGCCAATCATTGGTACAGGTATATAAAGTTCTGGATTAGGATTATCTAATTGAGCTTGTTTCCATAATCGTAAATCAATAGAACAAGGTGGATTATCTAAATATTCTTTAAGTTGTGCTGGATCTAATTTGACTAAAGGTAATATATCTTCTACACCATTTTGCATTAATTGTTGCTTTTGCATTGGTTGTGATAAATATGTAACTAATTCATTAGCAGGAATCTTCCTTGGAGCTCCTGTAATTCCTTTCTCAGTGACAAAAATGGTCACTTGACTTTTATCTTCTCCAGTTGATTTAATATTATCTATCGTAAGCGTTAAATTGGGTTTATTTCCCAAAATATTATTCATAAAACTGATCAGTTGTACTTCTCCTTCTTTGACATCTTTTTTTTTCTTATTAAAACAAAGTACAACAAGACCATCATTATTGTCAGCTTCAGGCATTCGACTATATCCAATGGCTTTAAATCTACATAGTGGATTTTCTTGATTAAGTTCAATAGGTGGTGCATTCATGTAATAATAAGCTTTTCCTGTGCCCCACAAAGCTTGTATAAGATTCCATCTTGCAATAATATTGTCACGTTCATCATTATACAATTGACAATTAAATACAGCATTGTATAATGCTTCGGATAAAGTATTAGCAGTTTGTTGTTGTTGTTGCTGTTGTTGAAATTGGGGTTGTGTTTGCGATAAACCAGATCCAAAACCAGTAAATCCTGTACCTGCATAAATAGTTTGCTATATATAATTAAAAATATAAGATAATCAAAAATATGATTTGATTAGTACTCACCTGTTCCAAAACCACCAAAACCAGTAGATGTAGTTGTAGTTGCTGGTTTTGTACCAAAAGCACCAAAAGCTGTAGATGTACCAAAAGCTGGAGCTGTATTTGTGGTACCAAATCCTTTAAAAAAGGAAGGTGCTGATGTGGTTGTTGTAGTTCCAAATGCACTGAAACCACCAAAGCTTAAAGAAGATGTTGTATTGGCACTAAATGTACCAAAGCCAGAGCTGGAGGCTGGTGTGGTACCAAAAGTGGAAGTAGTTCCAAATGCAGTGCCTGATGAAGCAGGTGTACTACCAAATACTGGAGTAGTTCCAAAAGCAGTGGTAGAAGTGGCACCAAATGTAGGTGCAGAAGCAAAACCACTTGTTGATGTATTACCAAAACCAGTGGCTGCTGGTGATCCAAAAGTAGCAGCACTTCCAAATCCTCCTGCTGCTGGAGTCGAAGAAGAACCAAACAGACTAGGTGCTGAGGTTGATGGTGTATTAAATGCAAAAGATGAAGTTCCAAATCCTGCTAATATATTAAATTCCAAATGAGGAATATAAATTTAATAACATATGGCAACTATATTGATAATAATTATTAGAAGATATTTATATTTCATATATGAAAAAACTATTAATATATTTATATATATGTATATATAAATTTATTTATATACACATTTAAAAAGTATATATATGTATACATTTAAACAATGCGTTTGCGATAAATAAGCGCATTACGAAATAATAAATATACAGTGTGAAGTTTTATAATTTTCAAAAATTGATTTTTGTTTTCATTGATTTGAAATTGCTCCAAATAGAAAAACTAATATGTATTTGATAGAAATGCCTTGCATACGATCGCGATAATAATTTGCATTTTATTTGTTTATAGAATTTAATAACGCGTATTGCAAATAATTCAAATACATAGAAAATATCGTATAATTTTCACATTTTTCCATATTATTAAAAAGTTTTTGATAATATAAATAATATAATAAAAAAACGAAATCTTAAACCATGTCATACTTAAATGGAAATCAGGTAAGGTTATTAACAGAATAAAATATGCAAAATATGCAAAAATTTCATTTCTTTAAATAAGCAGGAAGGAAAATACGGACTTGCTCATAAATTAATAAAACTTGCTTCGATGTCTAATAAAAAGGTTGTACTTCGTCATGATGATCAATCTTCAGATGTGTCTACTGAATTGTTACATGAATTTGGTACAACGGATGTAGCAATTGGGGTATATTTTTAATGTTTTTAATTTTATAATTTATATTTAAGCATTACATATAATATATATTTTATTACTTTATTATATTATCATATATATATCTTTATTATATATATATATATATATATATATATATATATATATATATATATATAATTACTAAGATATTTTATTATCAATAAAAGGATGTCACAGCAGAAGTTAT